TTCCTTTCACGTTTTAACTCAGCAGTCGAGCAGCAACAGCAACATCAATTATATCATCAGCAGCAGCTGCTGCAACAGCAACATCAACAGCAGCTGCAACAGCAACGAAGTAACAGTTCGAGCAACAGTAGTATAAAGCATTTTGAAGAGGATTTAGAGAACGAATTATATGGTTTCTATAAAACAACAACGTACAGCAACAACGATAGTATCAATAACAACAACAACACCGTTGCATCGCCAGTCGGCAACAACAATTGCAACATCAACCAAACGAAAAATACACCAAGTTCCATTTATACAAAAGTTTCAACCAATCAAGTCACGAGCAGACAGCAACAACAACTCCAACGCAAACCACAATTCAGAGATATCTCAAGGTCTGTCTATGACAACAGCAACAGCAATGACATCAGCAGCCGGGGAATGAGTTTCAGCAGCGGTAGTGGCAGCAGCTACAGCGGCCGCAGCAGCTACATGAGTAGCGCGGGTAGCAGCTTCATAAGCGAGCCCGGTGGTAGTAGTAGTAGTGGTTGTGGGGGTGGATATATTAATAGTAATGATTACAATTTCTACCAGTTATAAACATTACAGTGTTGCTTCTCCATATGAACGTGTTATTACATATTTACACACGCACACACACGCACACATATATCGACTTTGATTATTTTTTGACGATAAATTGAGGAGTAACATGGCGAGAATGACCTTGTTTATATTTATTTGTTTATATTTTTGCCCTTTTTTTTTCATTTTCATTTAGAATCTGAGTTAATGTTTGTGTGCATGTTCACAAGTTCTCACTTGCATGTTTACAAGTTCTCACTTATAAACATATAACATGTGCGTTTACAGGTGCCAGCTAGAGGGGTACCGATTGTATGGCTTGGCCATTTTGAAAAGCTGAATAGTGCAATTTTCTTTTAAGCCATCACTTTTTTAGATTGCAGAGCAATAATTGTTAATGTTGTTAGTGGCGACATCAGAGTTGCTAAGAGACATCACAATTCACAATTTGTTTATTTATCAAACCAGTAAAGATTTGACCGGAAAGATTAAAAATCTTGTATCTTGTATATATATATATATATACATATATATATATATATATATATATATATATATATATATATATATATATATATATATGAATAGTCTACAGTTTTAAAAACTTGAAATTTTTTCGAAATTTTGAATTTTTTCGTATTTGGCTTCGACCGAATATTGGATCAAGTAACAAGGGGATTAACACTTTGATTTGTCGTTAATTGCACACGTTGGCATTCAATTGTATGTATGTATGTATGTCTGCGTGTGGATGTGCATGCATGTATGTATGTATGTTGTGTGTGTGTGTGTGTGTTTGTACATGTGTGTTTGTTTGTTTGTTTGTATGTATGTATCTTTTTCAACTTTTTATTTTGTTTCTCTGCAGCATACATCATTATCCTTTTCATTTTTCATTCTAGTCGTAATTATTTTTATTCATTTTTTAGTGAAAATAATTTATTCGCTTTTTGTTTTTTTTTTGATAAAATTATTTATTTCATGTTTGTATTAATTTAATATTTAATTTTTTCTGAAGACAATTTATTATTATTATTATATGCAGAGTTAATAGCAAAGCATTTATAATATTTTACAATTATTTTTTTCAGTATTTCTCATCACACACGCACACACACACGCATATATAATATGTACATAAACGATTTCTTTCTTACGTGCATTTCTGACCGCTTGTCACATCATGTATACTCATTTGAGATGGTAAATGTTGCTTTTACAGTTATATCAATCAATTAATTAATTAATTAACCGATTAATTGGTTATTTAATTAGTTGGTTAATTA